GGCTCCCCCCCCCCCCCCCCCCCCCCTCCGTAGCCAACACATACGTGTTTACCGGTGACCGTTAGACCGTGGCAATGTAGAGACCTCGTTTCACCGAGGCTAGCCGAGAGAGTGTGTGAGAGAGAGAGAGAGAGAGAGAGAGAGAGAGAGAGAGAGAGAGAGAGAGAGAGAGAGAAAGAACGTGAGATAGGTATTGTTCGATCAGTGCAGTACTGGTGCTGTGCCGGATTATTTAATTTTGTTCGGTTTGGGTGGAGCGTTTGTGGCACATCTGAGTGCAAGTGAGTGAAGTTGCGGGTTGTGGAGTTGTAGAGAGCCTTTTTGTGGCGTTGTTTTTTTTTTCGAGGGCCGGGGCGGTTACGTATGTGTGCCGTTGCGGTACTCGCAAGAATGGGTCTGGGCCTGGAGGCTCTCTCCTTAGTCTGGGAAGAACAAGAGGCAGGAGTTTGGTTGGAGGGTGCGAATCGTGCAGGGGTGTACCGCCGCGTGCGCCTTCCGCGCACAAAGGCGCCCCCTACGAAAGAGCCGATGGCGAGGTCTCGGTGGTTCGTGCCTCTGATCTTTTTTGTTGAGCTCGAGGCCCCCTCTAGTGTTGTTTGTCCCTCTACCTTTTACGGTATCTCTGTGGTAAAAGTAAGGCTTTAGCATCTTCTGTGGTTGTACTTTTTTTGTTGGGTACCCCGGTCGGTCCGGGCGGTCGCTGTGTTGGTGGTGGGGGGGGCGTTTTGTTCCCTGCTCCTGTATTAATGAAGCAAGCCGGTACCGATGGTCATCGCCCGGCAGGATGATTGTGGTGGTGGTGGTGGTGGTGGTGGTGGTGTGGTAATTTTGTAAGCCAGCGCACCCCGCCCAGATAGCTTCTCATCCGCGGCGATGTCGTTGTCGTTGTCGGTTTTTTTTTCGTTTTCGGAGAGAGCTGCAGTGGTGTGGCGTGAAAAGTGGAGTGTGCCGAACTGGCTTTTGTGCGTGCTCTCCGACTTCTTGATCTTACCATACCATATACCCATCACACCACACGATCTGAGTAGTTTTTTCTGCGTGTTAAATTACCCTTTACCCTTTCATGTGTCCCTGTGGTGCCCGCTGTCCTCTGCTTGGCACCCCCCCAGTCGGGTTGGTTGATTTAGCGCAAAGCAGGCCAAGTGCACGCTTGAAACGCCGGCGGTGCCTTGAGCCGTTTGGTGGCCGCTGCCTGTGACTGGTTGGCGCAACCTGAGGGTTAGGCAGACGGGTTGGTTGCTGCTGAGGGGGGCGGGTGGCGTTGCCCGTGCAAAGGCAACGGTGGTTTTGGTAGTTTTGGTCTCCTATCGCCTTGTATTTTTGGTACGGTTGGGGTGAGGTCGGGTTGACTTGGATTTTGGTTGGAAGATTTGTGGGGTGAAAAAAAGTGGACCTGATTAATTGAAAAAGGGAAGTGTAAGGCATCGGTATGCATAGGTAGCGCCAGAATTGTGGCACGAGGAGGTTGTAAGCAAATCTGTTGCGTGATTGTCGAGTCTCTTGTCGAATGACGCGCTATGGACCGTTGGTCTTTTTTTGCTTGCTTTATTTGACGGCTCTCGTCTTTGTGTCGGTAGCCATCCATCCCGCTTTATCGTACGTGAGGCGCTGCTATAGGGTGTCTGCCTGTCCCAAGACCCTTTGCTAGCACCGACTTGACGTGCCAGCATGCATGCATGCAATCGTGGGGTGTCTCTCTCTTCTCCGGGGGGTGGGCGTTATGTTACTTGGTTCTTGGCAGGAAGAAGCGGAGCAAGCCAGCGGTCATCCCAAGCCCTTCCTTTTTGTATCGGTCGCTTGCCTTCTCCGGCAATAGTAAATGGTGTTGGGTTTTTCGGTTCAGGGGGGTATTACGCGGTCGCCTTTCCTTCCATGTTCCTTCCCTTCCCTGTACGCTTGAACGGTACGGATCCCGCCTGGTGCATTCAACGCGTCCCTTGCGTCTTGTTGTTGGTGTCGTTTCATTGATAATAATCATCAGTAGTAAATGTATAGGGTTATGTTGAGGTCTTAAGATGTAACCTCTGGGGGTGAGTGATGGTGGCAGACCACTCGAAATGACAACAAAAGAAGTAGATTTCGGTGCTTTATCATCGTTAGGTTTTACCATTCCCGGCTGTCTGGCCTGCAGCTACCATGCAGCCAGCCGAAACCAGGGTGTTTGTGTGCGTGTGTATTTTTGGGGGGGTTGTTTACTTGACAAGGGCTCTGTTGTTTGCACTGCATTTTGCGCTGCAAAGATTTTTGGTGCGGGTCGGCATGTTTGGGCTCTCACTTGGTTGAACCTCGTTTCGGAATATAGAGGTGGGAGTTTCATGGTGTAGGGTGAGAGGAGGAGGAGGGGCGGTGGAAGGAGACGGGGGGAGGGGGGGGATCAAAAATATACAGCCGAAAAGGGAGCTCCACTGAAGACCAATTCCGATTGATTACTTGCATGATTTGCCTGCCCCCAATTACATTTCTGTGTATGAACTGGCTTTCTTTCATGGTATCGGCTACTGTTTCGCTGTTTCAGGACAGGAGTGATGTTGGAGAAAGGCGCGCAAACGGGGGGGGGCGGGGGGGGGGGGAGG